CTCCCGTGCGGTCCGCATGCGATTCACTCCCACGGGAGCCGAGAACCGAAACGGGGAGACAATGACCTGGAACCGGCGGTGCTGCCAACCCGTAAGATAAAGACGCACGATAAGGATACAAGAAGCTCGGAAGGCGACGTCGACAGCTTGCGGGCGGGACGCGACCAGCGGAAGCGCCCGAGGATGGGCCCGAAGGGGCAAGGACGCAAGGGCAACCTTGGAAACTTGTCTACCCTTGCTACGCGGGTTGACCGTGCATCGAACAAAACGAGCTAGCAGGAGAATCCGACATTACACAAATGTTGGAGGCTGAGACAGCGGAGGGAAAAAGGAGGGGAGGAGGAGGAGAGGGAGGTGGAGGAGGAGGCGGAGGAGGAAGAAGAGAAGGAGGAGAAGGAGAATGAGAAGGAGGAAGACGACGAGGAGGAGGAGGAGGAGGAGGACGACGAGGAAGACGACGACGCGGGGAGGGAGGAGGAGAAGGAGAAGGAGGAGGTGGACGAGGGGGAAGAAGAGGAAAACGAGGAGGAGGTGGAGGCGGAGGAGGAGAAAAAAAGGAGGAGGAGGAGGAGGAGGAGAAAAAGGAGAAAGGGTGGAGGAGGAGGAGAAGGAAGAGAGGAGGAGGAAGAGGAGGAGTAGGAGGAAGAAGAAGCAGAAGAGGATGGTGAGGAAGAGGAGGAGGACAAGGAAAAGGTGGAGGAGGAGGACGAGGAGGACGCGGAGGAGGAGGGGAAGGAGGAGGAGGAGAAGAGCAACAAGAAGTATAAGCAGAAGAAGATAAAGCTGAAGAAGAAGAAGAGGGGGGGCGATGAGAAGGAGGAGGAAGAGGAGGAAGAGGACGAGGAAGAGCAGGCGGGGAAAGAGGAGGAGAAGGAACAGGAGGAGGAGGACGAGGATCGAGCTTCAGGGATCGAGGTGTTCGGTGAAGCGGGGGCGGGTTGTTGCGCGCCTCCTTCGGGCCTCTCGTCGCCGCGGCTGGAATCCCATCGGAAGTCGAGCCAAAACGGACCCCGCGAGAAATCCTATGAGGGGGCGGTGATCCATGGGAGAGGAGGGGGGAGGGGGAGGAGAAGGGAAGGGGAACGGGAGGGGAAGGAGAATGAGCAGGAAAAGAAGGCGCAACGCCCATAATGGAGGAGCCGAAAAGTAAGAAAACAAAAAATAGGGCGGGGTGCCCACCCAAGGAAAGCAGTCGTTCCCCCCCCGAGGCGGCGATCCACCTCGAACGGGTCTCGCCGATAGGGCACCACCACCCCCGGAAAGGCATCATCAGGCTGGGCGTCGCGCCGCGCGCGTGCCTCTGCCCTGGCCTCCAAGGACTGCACTCCGATGCGCCCTGCCTCGCTACGATCAGCAAATCCAGACGCGCGGAAAATCACAGCCAGCTCCAACCGCGACAACGGCCCCTGCTAAAGAAGAGGAGGGCCCCGATCACCACTTGCTGACCAACCACGGACTCCCCGAAGTGGCCCGCCCAACGGGCCCGAGGCGACAGCGACGGCGGTCGACCGCCCCCCCAGGGCAACCTTGGGGAGAGCGGGGCGCTTCGAACTTCGCAGCCGATTACGCGCGGTCAAGGCCACGCCTCCAAAGAAATGGCGAAAACCGAAAACATGCCTTCGAGCCCCCGCTGGCCGGGAAACACAGCGCACCGCCAGCACGAGCGACCAAACCAGCAGGGGCTGCGACGCGCCCTCTTCCACGGTCGCCCCAAGCACCTGGCGGCCCTGGATGGGCCACGGGCCCTGGGGAGCAGCTTCCGCCGATGGCCCGAACTCGAAGCCTGCCCGAGGCCCCCCGCACCAGGCTCAGACTCGGGATGGGGCGCGCCAGGGGTGCACGCCCAAAGACGAATTCTTCGACTGAATGCATCAAAGCCACATGGTCTGCACGCTCGCGACTGGCCCTCGGCCTCGAAACCCCAGCAACACACCTACCTACCTGGGACGCCGCCGCCCGGCAAGGGCGGCCCCCGTTCCTGGCCCACTCGTCGGCAAGGGCAACGCCCCCACGACGGCAGGGGGAAACTCCATTTTCTCGCGCCGCTCGCTCCGAGGCGCGAGCTGTCACTCGCGCGAAATCCCCCCGCGCGCTCAATGTCCTCGCGCGAGCGCGCCCGCCTTCAGTTGGGCCAACGAGGATCAGCGCCAGCTCGCGAGGCACACGGCTTCTGACAGCACGAGACGATCGCGAGACAATCGACGCACACAGAGATAGTGCCAAAGACGTACTCAGCCAGCTGGGCGCGGCCCAGCCCTTTCCGTTTCGCGCGGATCGCTGCACTCCGAGGTCGGGCGGCACCGCGCCGCGCAGGCCTCCAACAAAATGCCTACAGCATTACAACACATGCGCGACCAGCCAGCCACTCGCACGATTGCGAGATCACCGCCAATGCAAGCGAAGCCACCTTCGAGCATGAACGGGGCTCCGCCCCCAGCGACCTGCAACCCCATTCAGCCTGGAATAGTTTCCGCCCAAAGCAAGCGCCAGGAGCGAGAAACGCGCCCCTGGGAAGCATTCCCCGCCAGGCCTGCGGGGCCGACGCCAGCCTCTCAAACGCCACTTCGACCAGATCACGCCGCCCTGCTTTCAGAGCCACGCACGCGCACGCCTGGCGACAAAACGCGAGAAAAAAAAAAAAAAAACAGCACACAAAAAAAAAAAAAAAAAAAAAAAAAAAAAAAAAAAAAAAAAAAAAAAAAACTGCTGCACCCAGCCAAGCACAGCTGGCAGTCGACGGGGAGCGTCTGCCCCTGCTGGTGCAATCGCAACTGGCGCCAGCGCCGCCCGCCAGCGCCGCCCTGCAACATGGCCTCGAAAAACGTTCTGGCGGTGAATATCCCACACCGAGTTGGGCATCAACCGCGTCAGATCGAGCGCGGGCTTCCAAAGCACAAGCACACCCCATCTCTGTCCTACAGGAAAACGGATCGTCGGCCCGGCGCCACGCGGGCTGCCCGGGCCACTTGAAGGGCAGGGCAAGCCGTGGAATTGAACATCGAATCCCACCCACGACCCCCACCGCGCACCATCCCCGCAGCCCCCGAGAAGCTCCGCCCAATCCTTTTCTTCGAACAGACCAGCGCCTGCACTGGCGCAAAATCCACGGTCTAGGCCCCCGAGCTTGCCCTTGGGCTTGCTCCGCAAACGCGCCCAGAACTTGGCGGCTCGAGCGGCCGCTCCACAGAGTGCCACTGCACTGCACGATGCCATCTGACGCGGCGAAGACGAGGGGGTCGCGTCTCCACCCCACGTTGCAGACCTTGAGCGCGGGCCCAAAAGAAACCCTTTTTCGGCAATCTGGCTCCTGCATCGGCGGCGACCACCCTCGGGCCGTTCAAGCGGCTGTCGGCCACCCACGAGATACTGGAGCCCTAGCTAGCCACCGCCGACGGCCCCGCGAGGTTGATCGAGCCCATCTCGCCCCACCCCCCACCCCCCTCTCTCGGAAATGCCAGATCCGCCGGGCGCGGCGGTGGGCCCCCAGGAACCGCCCCAGGCAACCCGAACACCTCTGGAACCTCCCGTCCGCCGCGCCACCCCCTGGATCACAGTAGACCCCCGACCGAGCCAGGGCGCCCGTCGGGGGCAAACCCAGCGAACTGCTAGAAGCAAACCACCCTGCCGTGTCACGAAATGGGCAACCCCCTGCTCTGAACGCCCTCGGCCACCGTCGCAAACGCACGCGTCAGCTGGGCGGTCGCCGCTGCAAGCCCCCTAACGCCTGAGAAGAGGCATCGCCCATGGCGCTGCGGAGGGTGGCCACTGGATTTTCGCTCGGCGCCTGGGCCAGCACACAGAAACATCACCCGAGCCACCGAGGTTGCGCGCCAGCACCCAGCGATCGCTGCGCTGGCCGCTAGCAAACACGGGGGCGCTCGCGAAGCCACAGAAGGCCGCGGCGCTGCGATCTGCACAGGCAGAAAAAGCTGCGGGCCAAACGGAACGGGAATCCACGGGCCCGCGGGGCCTCCAGGAACTCCGGATGACTGATGTTTGCATAATATTTCCTGAGGTCCAAAAACGCCGAGGCCGATGATAGGCCCTATGGTCAAACACACGAGATCAGCGCATTGTGAATCAACGCGCTCTAGTCGCAAAGCCGACAAGCGACCCTGCACACGGGCGATCTTGCAATGGCGAGAGCGCTCCCACCCGTCGCATTCAAGGCGTCGAATATTGGGATACATGGGCACAGAGAAAGGGAATGCAGATCGGCCTGACACTCCCTCTGTCGCTCTCTAGGAGCACAATCAGCACCGGCCGAACACCGCCCGAATCTGGCTGCAAGCGCAAGCAAGACTCAATCGGAAACTGCGCCATAGGCCCGGGGTGGAAGCCATCCCGCCCAAGCACTGCGTCGGGACTGGGCCACTGGCCGGCGCCCCGCACCTGCCCAGCCGCGACGGGGGGGGGCCTGGCGGCGCACTCCAGGAGCGAGGGCGAGGCTCAGAGGCACGTGGGTCTCTCTGCCAGATCCCTCGCCACTCGACAAGGAGGTGCTCCGAGGCCCCGCTGTCCCGCCAAGGCGCGCGGCCGCCACCATCCTCGCCACCCCCTAGAATCGGCGCAAGTGGGCCCGGCGGCCCCCTGCTACATCGGCGGGCCAGCCCCCCTCCCTCGAGCGCGGCCCCCTCACAGGACGCAGCCCACAACTCCCGAGACTGCCCGGCATCAGAAAAGAGCCCAGGGAAGAAAAGCGCCAGCTCGGCCAAGGACGCAAGCGGACGCGCGGTTCTGCTCGCAAGCAATGCAACGCGGCACCCCTTACTATTGTCGAGGCAAACAGCTGGGCCAGCACCATCCGAGACGAAAGCCGGGCCGAGGTTGCCGCTGGAGAGCGGCGCCGGAGCTCGCGGCCCCACGACGCTGCGAACAAACCTGCGTAAGTCTACACAGCCTGCAACGGCCCGACTGCCTGCGCGGGCACCCGCGATCAGCAATGCAACGTGCCGCGCGAAGAAATACCCGCTGCATCCAACCACTTGGCCGCGGCGCCG